TGTCTTATTCCCTTCCAGCCCCTCCATGTGTCTCATTCCTCCCCAGCATGTGTATCATTTTCCCACCCCAACATGTGACTCATTTCCCTCCCTCCAGCCCCTCCATGTGTCTCATTCCCTCTCCCCAGCCCCACCATGTGTCTCATTCCTTTCCAACCCCTCTCATGTGTCTCATTCCTCCCCAGCATGTGTATCATTTCCCCACCCCTCCATGTAACTCATTTCCCTCCCTCCAGCCCTTCATATGTTTCATTCCCTCCCCCTCAGCCCCTCTATGTGTCTTATTTCCTCCTCCCCTCAGGCCCTCTATGTGTCTCATTACTCCACCCCACCATGTGTCTAATTTCCAGCCCCCCAGCCCATCCATAAGTTCCATGCCCTCCCACCAGCCCTTCTATGTGTCTTATTCCCTTTCCCCCCTCCCTTCTGTACCTTTTCAGCCGGAGTGCGGTACCAGGACTGACAGGAAGTGCTCTCTCAGTGAGAGTGGTCGCTCGGTACACACAGTGGCAGGAGTCAAGAGGGGAGCAGCACAGCACTCCTCTCGTGTTGGTAACCCCGCAACCGCAAGCCCTTGGCTGGTCACCTGTGCGGCACTGCACCGGCCCTGAAGTTATGCTGGCAGACAGACCCTGGAGTGACAGGATTGGTCGCACCTGCAGCCCCTGTGACCTTTGTAGTTACGCCACTGCTCCAAGTAATGTGTATGAGTGTATCACTGCTAACAATAAAACACACAATAAATCTCAAAATAATGCTGTGTCTACGAGTGTATCACAGTGGTCCACAGGAATAAAACTCACAGTAGTGCTTAATGTGTATGAGTGAATCACAGCCTTCCATAACAATAAAACTCAAACAAGTGATTTATAATGTCTATGAGTATCATAATGTTTCACAACATTTACAATGATATGTAGCGATTGTTTCAGAGAGCTCCAGATCAATAACTCACAATGGTGTGCGTATACACTCTAGGAAATATGCTTTAATTTACGGCCTATGGCCTCCATCAGGGTTGTACATATATCTGAGATCCCTGCAGGCTCAGAATTTTTCGACCCTCTATCTCCCCAACAAAACTTCAATTGTTGTGCCAAACTTTGAAAGAAGCACGCAAAACCCAGTGAAACAATGCTCTTCTCCCAACACAATGACATCACAACCAACTAATATAAACAATGTAATTATTTGGTCTTCATTGGGTTTGAGAACCCTTGTTCTCAGAGAACTGAAAGCTGGAGAAAGAGGTCTGCTGCTACATGTATGAGCGATAGTTTACTGGAGTATTAATATAAATCAATGGACTCCTCTGACATAGAGGGGATGCTAAAGCAATTTGAGTACAAAACTTTCACCGTTATTTTTAGAATCTACTTTCTGTTAAAGGAAAATTAATGGGTAATCTGGCAGTAACTGTTGTCTGCTGGATGGACTCCAAATACCGGAAAGCATGCAGATAAGATTGTGATGGAGTGATGTTAGACAATAAAAAAGCTAATGTTTCTCAGTATCCAGCAATGGTGCTGACACAGGTGGAATTAGAATAAGCAAACTCACAGACGCAGAATTCTTCTGCCTCGAATCAGGAATATCATTATCCCTCTACTTGACAAACGATGATTCATGGCATTCTTTCACCTTGAGCTTTGCTGCAACAAGAACTTAAATATTCTACAATAATGTGTACATCTTTGGATGGGAATAACATTATTCACTTTAAATGGAATGAAAACTCATAAATACATTATCTGACCTTGTTTATTCACTGTCATTGCAATTATTCTTTGCACTACTTAATTCCCTTTAAAAATGTCTATGTCTTGTGTTGATAATGTTTAAATATTCTATTTTTTTTTTTGCGCATGGAGGGTTTATTGCATTATCAGACAATTTTTAAACCATGACTTTGTTAATTCATACACAGTGGAATTCTGCGAACTAATCAAGTCTACTCCAGAATTCTCAGGTATATACTGGTTTCTGTTATCATGTGCTCTTAGAAGACATTTAAATTATTAACTGAATTAATAATTATAATGCAATTCCAAGGTGGGTGCCCTCCACATTGAAAAATGGTCATATATGTAAATGTTGTTTATAGCAAATTGTTGTGAATTGGCTAGATGGAGATGATATTAATATGTTGGGACTATCGATTTAGTTTGAGTTGTACAAAATCATTTATTGGTGTGTGAGTGTCCGTCTGCATAGTACTTAAGGGGCACCTATGGAACACTTAAATTTACCTGAACTCCCAAATTCTCCTCACAATCCTTGTTACATTATCTCCAAGGGCAATGCAAGCAGAGAAAGATTAAGAGCTCACAGGACCCTCTCCAGGTTACTTTTAATGCCCCCCCCCTTCATTCTTTATATAGTGATTGTGAATGAACAGGGGGCAAATTCATCAAATTCATGGTCCCAGGCTACTGTCTTAACTCTGGGCCCTAGAGAGCGGGCTAAGGTCACCTTATATATATTATTATTTACATTTATGTAACACCAACTGCAGTGATTTACTATTAGATAGATAAGATATAAATTATACAGAGGTGGTATTGACATGCAAAGTAATATTGTCAGGATATCGGCCCTGTAACATAACCCTACTGCACGACTACAAATAAACGGAGCATTCTCAGATTCGTTCCCCATAATTAAAGGAACGCAACAGGGCTTTCCCCTGTTCCCTCTCCTCTTCGCGCTGACACTTGAGCTATTCCTGAATAAGATATGGGAGAACACAGGAATACAGGGACTGCACACAGGGAAAACCCACCACAAAGTACTAGCCTATGCGGATGACCTGCACTACCTAGTGACGAACCCAACTACCACCCTGAGAGATTATGAGGGAGTTCGTGGAGTACGGTCACGTTTCGAATCTCCGGATCCACTATACAAAATCAGAAATCTTGGAAATCACTGTCTCACCGACACAATGCCAAAACCTCTCTGGGGAGTTCCCCTTTAAGTTATGCACCACCAGCATGCGGTACCTGGGGAGATGGCTCACGAAAGACCCGACCGACCTATACGTTTATAACTATCAATCGCTGTTAAGGAGGAGCTATTTACCTGGAGTACACACTATATTTCCTGTGTAGGCTGCGTCAACGCAGTAAAGATGATGCTATTACCGAAGATAATGTTTGCATTTCAGACTATGCCCATTTCAGTCACTGCCTTATTCTTTCAAACTCTGAAAGCAGAAGTCAGAAAGTTCATATGGAAAGACAGATCACCCAGAATAGCACATTCCCAACTAATGCTCCCAAAACTAAGAGGGGGTCTGGCCCTACCGGACATGGAAAAATACTACCTGGCCATGCACTTCTCGAGAATAATCAGCTGGACGCTAACTTTTAGCGGGAAAAAATGGGTCCAACTAGAGGCTGATAGTATAGGCACAAAAGTAAGAGCCCTACCATGGATAGCCAAGGCGGATGGAGCGCGACTCACAACCACCAACCCATTCGTGAAGGCTACCCTAACCCTATGGCATTGTAAGGGACCAAAATTCTTCCTGACAACAGAACTGGGCCCTCTGCTCCCCATAAGACATAATGGCTGGAGCCATGGGCCCCATACAGACCATGAAGGAGGACAACCCCTGCCCCCAAGTGAGGGACGTGGTAGGTCCAGAATGGAAGGTGCGCCCAGTGGAGTAACTATTCCTAGATGCTAAATGTTTGGTCCAACACACCATGGCAAGATCACAAATATCTGGATACATCTCCACAATTTTACAGAAACCATGCCTTATAAAGGATACCACAGAGTTAGAGAGTTTATGCCTCCGAGACCTGATGGTACCCAAGGGTATCTCCACAATCTATAACATGCGTATCATCAACCGATATCAACTAACACTCTCGTGTCAGAGAGGATGAGAGGAAGAAATGGATGAATCATTCACAGAAGCTGAATGTGACAAGATGATCCTCCTGGTACAAAAAACCCTACATCGTCACGAGTACAGGAGAACTCCTATAAAGTCATGACACGCTGGTACTTGACTCCGCAAGCCCTCCACAGACGTGACTCCACAGTACTAGATACCTGCTGGCGCTGCAGCGTGGAGAGTGGCACGCTCCTCCACGTGTGGTGGTCCTGCAGGCAAATCCATCTGTTTTGGGAATCAATCAGCTGCGTGATTGCAAAACTCACAGTGATTGCCCCCTCCGATGGAACCAGCCACTTACCTGCTCCATCACACCCAACTGGGGACGCAGAGCTACAAATGATCAGTGAACCTGCACCTACTGAACGCAGCAAAGGTTGTGATCCCAGTTTACTGGAGACGACAACGATCACCTTCACTACGCAGATGGGTGGAAGATACCAGACGTTTTGAAGACCTGAAAATCACTACGGCCAAAGACCTGGAAAGATAAACCCAGCGCTGGTTTTACTGGTTGGAGTTCCTGTCATCGTAAGACTATATAAGACTACTCACTAATCTGGAACCATAGACACAGCACCGCACAAACCCAAAGGGAGGGAAAGCGGGATCCAGCCCTCCCCCATCTAATTTGTCTTTGCTCTCTTCTCCTCTCACCTTTACTCTCTGCTTTCCCCCCACTCCCTTCCCCCTACCTAGCTAACAGCAAGCGCAACACAACTCCCGCTATGACCCGGGATGCGGAGCAGCCGAGACACCACCATGGGGGCTACCGAGGGTACCCACCCCCTGTGGGTCAACAGGGGGTGACAATACCCAGCCTGACACCATAAAACAAGCTGAGGGGCCCCATGTTGATAATTTTCCCAGCGGAACATGATAACAGACAACCAGATAGATAGCGATAGCAGGATATCAGACCTAGTGTACGGGCAAAGTAAGACAATATACTGAGTGTATTAGGATCACTAGACTGGTTGCATGGGTGTGCCGCCTGATCTGTCGCTATCTTCAATATAGCTTGGTAACAGAGTCCTGTATCGTTAAGGTGATCTTGGACTGCGGGAAACCAACTAGCCACTCTAGCTAATACTCATCCGATACCCCTATGGGAGTCGCTTCTCGATTGTGGACTCAGGCCGCACTGGGGAGCATTGTAGCAATGTTGAGGTGCCTCTCTAGCCCCGGGGTTGTGGGAGAGCTGATACCCTTTTGCATTGAGCCTGGAGTCCAGGGTCTTCCCATTTGGGATAGTATGGTGGGCGCTGCTGGTTGTTGGTATGGTGCTCCGTTTGCGTCTCGTAGCCCTCCACGTGTGTGGCAAGTACTTGCGGGTCGAAACTCTCTTTGCTCTCAGCCCAAGGGGGCAGTGTGTGCTGCTTGTGGAAGCTGAGGACAAGTTTGCGCCCTCGAGAGGTTTTTCCATTCCTCCACTTCCCGCCATCTTGTACTCCCATAGGTAGCAATCTCCCGTGTTAACATCAAGCCTTTGCTTGCCTCGTGCGGTCTAACCTCTTAGCCCAGAACCTTTCAAATATTTTGTCAAGAGTGTCTGTTGCTGAATTGCTGGGGCCTGCTGTGTCATGCTGGAACAGTTTCAGGCCGCGTGTGAAGGAGCCTTGTGCGTCCACCATCTTGGTTCCCTCCGATCTGCTCAGAAGTAGTACACGGTCCTCTGGGACGTTTTAGGCTGTGGCAGCTCAGGTTGGCAGGGACCGGGATAACCCCTCCGGTCCACAGGGGCGGGATAGAAGAGTCGTACTCAGATGAGTCTTGGGACTGCAGGAGGAAAGTGGCCGTCTCTCCCCCACGCTCTCTCTGATAGGCCGCACCTTGCTGCCGCAGTTCCTGGACACACAGAACGTCAACTCTGGTGTCAATAGTTGTGGGTGAGGTACCTCTGCTTGTATGGCTCTGTCGGTCCTTTTTTCAGTACCTCGGCTTGAGAAATCACCGGCTTTGTCGCTGTGCAACAGGAGCTCATGTGAGACACGTCTAGCTAGCTCGCTGGTCAGGCTCCGCCCCCCCCACTAACACTACATTTTAGCCCTTACACTACTTTAACACTTATAATAACACTAACTGTAATCTAAAAATATAATTTACTATGAAAGATATATAAAAGTGAAATGTATATTAGGGGAAAGCAATGCCATCTGGATACATTTATAAAACACTTGATCTTCAATCTTCTATTGATGTCTACAGAATCATTTCTTGGCATTATTTTCCCATAATACACAGTTCACTTTTATGTGTTGTGATTATTATTTATAAAGCGCCAACAAATTTTGCAGCTCTGTAGAATAGATGGACTAACAGAAAAGTTTTTTGTAACCAGACGAGGGGGTTGAGGGCACTGCTCAAATGAGCTTACATGCTAGAAGGCGTGGGGTATAGTGACACAAAACGTAAAGGTAGGTTATTAATTGTTTTACGTTGTCTAATGGAACCAGACAAGGGTGACCCCTGTCCCTCCTGCTTTATATTATGTCACTGGAGTTTATGGCCATAGCCATAAGACAAAATGCGGAACGTCTGGCTTTAATCCCTGCAATGGAAACATCAAGATTAACTTGTATGCAAAGGTCATTTTAACTATCCAAAACCCGGAACATTCCCTATTACAGCTTAGGCAAGTGCTAGATGAGTTTCTGAATGTGTCTGGCTACAAGTTGAATCTAGACAAGTCAACAATTTTTGCCAGTAATATTTCAGAAGAGGTGAAAAATAATTAACGAGAAATTTGATTTTAAATGGGCAAAATACTCCTTTGATTAATTAGGAATTATTACCGGTTCACACCCCAATAAAATAATTGAAAATAACTTTCTTCAATTAATCACTCAAACAGATTTCTTAAAGAATGGAAATGGTGGGGACAAATAAATATTCTTAAATCATATATCTTGCCAAAATGGTTTTATTTCTTTAGCATAATTACTTTGTGTATCCCTGACAGCTGGTTAATAATGACTCAACATTCGTTTTCAAAATTCATTATTTTTTAAAAAAACATTATTTTTCAAAAATGCTGAGGAAAATAACCGAAGAATAGCCCGTAAATATCTATCTCTAAAGAAGGCACAAGGGGGAGTAGGTTTTCCACAAAGCCAACAGTATTATAAAGTGAGTTTTTATTTTCATAGCATCATGTCACAATTGTCCATCTATTTCCAAATTAGAGAGGTGGGATGAGGCTAAAGAAGAACTCACTGTAGCGCAGCTCCCTGTTCACCACTGGCTAACTCCACCAAGTATCGCTTCATAGCTGTAGAGAACTGGGACTGTCTGGGAATGGTCACCTCATGCCAAAAACAGTTCTATAATATTTGCAGCTAAGTACCGCTGAGGTGACGGGGACCAACGAAGTTCTCATGCCGAAATTAGCTCCATAGTGGTCGCAGCTAAGTACCGCTGAGGACCATTTGTGGGTTTAGTTCATGTTAACGGCCGCCTGGGACCTATCATTCATTTCCATTCGAATGAAGAGAAAGTGCCAAACCAGGGGCACCCAGGGAAAGCTGCTAACGGTGGCTGGGTAGGGTAACTCAAGAACGGTGTCTCAGACCTGGACCATAGTCAGCGGGCAGGAGGCCAGCTTACACACTCCTCCAGGAGTTTGTGGCAAACGTTCATAGGAAGGAGCGTTTGTCACACTCAATTGTGAGGAATTGTTAAAACTTTTTTGGTCTATTGGAGAGTCAAATATTGAAATACTAAACCTAGGTTCTGGCTGTCTAGTGTTGAAGTCTATTATTAAAATGTGGCAAAAAAATCGAAAGAGATATAAAATTAAGGAGATGTATTATTAATGCTCTAACTCTGTCAATTTTGTCACACAATATTGAAGACTTAAATCTAAATGTGTTTTGTGGGCCCTAGGACCAAGGAATCTGTAATAAGTACTGATTACCTCGTACTGAATATTTTAATTACATAAGAATCAAAAGTCTGCTGAATACTTACTGGCCTTAAGAGAATGTAGAAAAGTTATATTGGGTAATTATATTAACAATCTTCTAAAAAAAATGCACTAATCTTCTGAGAAACTGTGATTCACTTCAATCTTTCCCAGCCCTTAAAAATGGAAAATAGATCTTAACAGAAAATTTTCAAAAGTAGAATGGACTAATTCTTGGACAACAGTCTTGAAAGCCATTAACTGTTTAAACTTAATGGAACTATTGTTAAATATTTTATCTAGTCCATTGTTTGCTGGCTAAAATTAACCAGAGTTCCTAAGAGATTTGTTGAAGATGTAGGTCAGGAAGAGGAGACTTTATGTTGGATGTATTGTGCTCCGATTCAATTATTTTGGAAAAACATGCACCATCAGATAGAGGTGATTGTGGAAACAATGCTACCACTTACTCCAGAAGATCTTCTGTTAAATTTTGACTTGAGTAAATGTAACATAAACCTTAAAGCCTTCCTTATTATTTTTTTTGTAGCAGCAAAAATTTAAGTTGCCAGATATTGGAAAATAGACATTTTGCCAGACTGGAGTTAGATAAAAAAATAATAAATAAAACTCATGTTCCAATTGGCTTAAAAAAGAACCGAAAGAAAAAAGCTTTGAAATTGATTTAAGAAAATATTCAAGCACTGAAGGTTTTGTAATGAATCCATTGTTGTCCCCTTTTGGACAATTCAGTAATGATGGCTGTTCTTAAAAAACTGTTTTTATTTATTTATAAATTTTTAGAGTCAGGACTATAGTTGGGATGATTAGGAAGACTCACCGTTTATTCTTATCTTTTAAAAAAAGTTTATTTTGTATTGTGATAATTCTTTTTAATTAGATATATACCGATGTAACTACAAGTGTTGTCTAACTCTTTCATATAAAGTCAATAAAAATAAAAAAAAGAAGAGAAAAAAAGGTAAGGGTAGGGTAGAAGAGTAGGTTACTAGAATCATTTTCACTGAGGGGTTAGTGTTTTTTTTTGGATGGCAATTGCAGGAGAGGAAGCAAGGTGCGGGGAGGAAAAGCTGTTAACAGTTTAATTGATATGCTTTCCTGAAGAAGTGAGTTTTCAATGACGTTTTTGAAGGAGTGGAGACTGGGTGAGAATTTCATGGTACAGGGAAGGGATCTTATCTCTCTGTCTCTGTATCTGTCATTCTGTTTGACAGTCTCTTTCTCTCTCTATACATCATGATGACAACGCATTCAATTGCTAGTTTCAGTGTCTGTATTTGAAGAACATAATAAACGTATAAACCATCAAGTAAATGATTATGGGCTGTAAATAATACGCCAAGAGACAAATCCTGCTCTAGAAAAACATATAATGAGGCCGAATGTACTGTACCTTTTTCTTTTAACATCTCCCGTGAGTTGCAGGAGGTCATCTATCTGTCATTGACATTCTTAGACACTGTATAATAGTCCCTCAGAGTTTCACCCCATGCACACTATATACACTGAACAAAATTATAAATGCAACACATGAGCTGAACTCAAAGATCTAAGACTTTTTCTATGTACACAAAAGGCCTATTTCTCTCAAATATTGTTCACAAATCTGTCTAAATCTGTGTTAGTGAGCACTTCTCCTTTGCCGAGATAATCCATCCAGCTCACAGGTGTGGCATATCAGGATGCTGATTAGACAGCATGATTATTGCACAGGTGTACCTTAGGCTGGCCACAATAAAAGGCCACTCTAAATTTGAGAGAAATACGCCTTTTGTGTACATAGAAAAGGTCTTAGATCTTTGAGTTTAGCTCATGAAAAATGGGGGCAAAAAAAAAAAGTATATATATATATATATAATAAAAAGGACCAAAGATGGGGTACAATGATGTTGTGGCAGGCTTATGTAATGTATGATCATACAATGTAACTAAACCCCCATTATTTTTTGCCTAGATTAGGTGTTTTTAAAAAAAACTAACAAAATCTGTCAAAACCGAAGTTGCTGTTTAGTGGATAAGGGAGTGCGCTTGATTTTCTTTTTTATTGTAAAACTTGGCACCTGGCAGCACCCTATTTATGTATGTTCAGGTGAGTGCAGCCAGCCCCCTGTTTTCTTATATATATATATATATATATATATACATAGTTGCATACTGGAGGATAGCTATTAAAGAGTGATATTAATGAGAGGGATGTTGGTGGTTTCACTGTTAAATTATTCAAAATAATCTTAGCGCTGGAAACATGATACAAAACCACTATAACATGTTATTCGCAGAGACTCGCGTTTGTTTTTTATTTCTCTTTTTTAAGTTACTTTGTAACAGGCGGCTCAAAGCCATTAAACATTCCACTAATTAGTATCTAGGTTACGTTCTTTTACATGAATAGTTAAAGGACTCTGAACATTCAAAAAAAAAAAAAATATTTAGTCATTTTTCATTATTTTGCCATATTTAATCATTTGGAGTCCTATAACGTATATGCAAATTTTATCTTCACTACTCTCCATTCATCTGCTATATCAAACACCCAAATATGTTGATTTTTATTTTATATGATAATTAAATAAGGTTAAGAACGTAGAAGAAAATCAATAATATCAGAAACAGAGCATCATTAGTGTAACTCAAACCCATTGTTCTTTTGTTTATTGATCAGTGTGGCTCATCATAACATAAAACAGTTGATATTGATGTTAAAAAAATTAAGTAAATAGAATCAATATTTTATTTTACTCAAAATCTCATTTTTTAAATATTTTATTATACCTTAGTAAAAGTGTCTGCCCATTTTACTTTCTGGTATCAAATTCAGTCTTTAATAATAAGGATAGTTTTCTAATCACTCTAGGGCTCACACAATATAAATATATTAGCTTAAAGGAGCACTCTAAGTGCCATAACCACTACGGTGTGCTGTAGTTGTTATGGAGTAAGAGTCCTTTAGAGTGGCCTCCAGATAAGAGTCTAACCAAGTGCCAGTGATACAACCCCTCTTCAGATATTAAAGCACATTTTCCTACTTATGCTTGGTGGTATCATTCCCGCCCATGGAATTCTTTCCAAATGTAATCCTCCATCTTATTTTTCAGTTACAATTTCCCACCTCACACATCAATCCATCACATTTACATGTTCAGTCAACTACTATATGCAACAACATTCACACACTATGGCAACAACTCCTATAACCACATTCACACACTATGTCAACAACCCCTATAACCACATTCACACACTATGTCAACAACCCCCACAACCACATTCACACACTATGTCAACAACCCCCACAACCACATTCACACACAATGTCAACAACCTCCACAACCACATTCACACACTATGTCAACAACCTCCACAACCACATTCACACACTATGTCAACAACCGCCACAACCACATTCACACACTATGTCAACAACCCCCACAACCACATTCACACACTATGTCAACAACCCCCACAACCACATTCACACACTATGTCAACAACCCCCACAACCACATCCACACACTATGTCAACAACCTCCACAACCACATTCACACACTATGTCAACAACCTCCACAACCACATTCACACACTATGTCAACAACCACCACAACCACATTCACACACTATGTCAACAACCCCCACAAACACATTCACACACTATGTCAACTACCCCACTAACACATTCACACACTATGTCAACAACTGCCACAACCACATTCACACACTATGTCAACAACCCCCACAACCACATTCACACACTATGTCAACAACCCCCACAACCACATTCATACATTATGTCAACAACCCCTACAACCACATTTACACACTATGTCAACCGCCACAACCACATTCACACACTATGTCAACAACCCGCCACAACCACATTCAGACACTATGTCAATAACCCCCACAACCACATTCACACACTATGTCAACAACCGCCACAACCACATTCACACACTATGTCAACAACCCGCCACAACCACATTCACACACTATGTCAACAACCCCCACAACCACATTCACACATGCAGTCAACTACCCCACTAACACATTCACACACTATGTCAACAACTGCCACAACCACATTCACACACTATGTCAACAACCCCCACAACCACATTCACACACTATGTCAACAACCCCCACAACCACATTCACACACTATGTCAACAACCCCTACAACCACATTTACACACTATGTCAACCGCCACAACCACATTCACACACTATGTCAACAACCCGCCACAACCACATTCAGACACTATGTCAATAACCCCCACAACCACATTCACACATCCAGTTGACTATCTCCAAAACCACATTCACATATCCAGTCAGGTACCCCTCGCAACCACATTCATGTCCATTCAACTATCCTCACGACCACATTCACAAACTCAGTCAACTACCCCTACAACCACAAAAGCATTTACACACTCAGTCAATGAACCCAATAACCACATTCACATGTCCATTTAACTATCCCCAAACCACAACTACATTGACACACCTGGTCAGCTACCAACACAACCACATTCACAAATTCAGTGACGTAACTGATCACCTACCCAAACCCACTCAGTCACATTAATTGCTACTCATTTACCAAGTCACATAGAGCCATACAGTCACGTATACACTTTGCACATACACATTCGGTTACACACTCACATATACACAGTAAATATGCATTCACATACACATAGTAGACACAAGGCTGTTGTGGAATGTTTAGGAATACATTCTAACGATGCTCTGTTAGCCTGATAAAAAAGGTGGTCTGCAAACATCTGCAGTATTATAGCTAGCCTCTGATTGCCCACTAGATGTGTGTGGCTTTTGCTGCTGGGAAATACATGGTTAATCATTTTGTTTCCCTAGATGTTCCCTAGAGGTGACATTTATTAATAAAATGGAAAAAAAAGGCATTTAGAATTGCAGCATGGTATATCTGGCCACACGCATAAAGTCACCAAAATAATTATGTACCCGGTTTTCAGTGAAACCTTTCTCACCAGTGTCATAGGTCTAATACATAATGGTAAAGATCAGATTAAAGGGACAGTATAGTCACTAAAACAACTTTAGCTTAATGAAGCAGTTTTTGCGTATAGATCATGGCCCTGCTGCCTCACTGCTCAATTCTCTACCATTAAGGAGTTAAATAATTTTCTCTATACAGCCATAGTCACACCTTCCTGCATGTGACTTACACAGCCTTCCTAAACACTTCCTGTATTGCAACTTCTGTTTAATGTAAAAGTTCTTACCTCTGGCTAATAGCTCGCTAGACCCTGCAGGAGCCTCCTGTATGTAATTAAAGTTCATTTTACAGAGCAGGAGATACAAACTTCTAAAGTACGTAACATCTGATTGAAAATGAAACCATTTTGTTTTCATGCAGGCTGTGTGAGTCACAGCCAGGGGAGGTGTGGCTAGGGCTGCATAAACAGAAACAAAAGTGATTTAACTCCTAAATGGCAGAGAATTGAGCAGTGAAATGTCAGGTGCATGATCTATACACCAAAACAGCTTCATTAAACTAAAGTTGTTTTGGTGACTATAGTGTTCCTTTAACCTAACATTAAGCATCTTACAGATATTGGAATATTTGCTGACTTAACTCTGTCCCTAAAAGGCTTGTTCTTCAAAATAGACTTTCAAGAATTTAACATTAGAAATCAATGTTTTAAAATGTTCTGTTTTCTATTCTTCGGAATGATCTAATATTTCCTTATCCTTTTTGTTGTGGAGATTGATTAGCTTCTCTAAAGGTACTTAATTTAGTTTATCATTTTCTGTAAATGAACAGGGCATCAGAAATGGACAATAGCACATTCTATAGAGGTCAGTTATAGGTAAATGGTAAAGGGAACTCATTGATTCACTTCTAGCCTTTTGGAAAGCAATTCATGAGCAACATAAATAAATAAACAGCTACAAAAATACTCTCATAATTGGCCTGTTTTTTTTTTCCTCCGGATGTAGCAAATCAATAAACACGCAAGTAAAAGCCTTATAGTTTACATTAATGAGCCGCGGCTGTAATTAGAAGTGCTTAGGTGGATGCAGGGGACTGTGGTCGCAGCCATGAAGATGCTGTTATGTAGCTTATGAATAGTCAGCAGATACTAAGCTCATCTGAAGATGCAATGGAATGGTTCTGTGCCAAGCAATTCACAGCATCTTATAATGTACGACGTGATGTAGGTAGAATTGTGCCAGGTTGTAAATATTTCTCGATATTAACATTTTCCTGAGCCAGAGACAATTTCACGGATATAAAGTAAGAGGTCTCTTCATTAATACTTTACATATAACACACATATAACCCAACATGCTTTTATGGTATGGACAAAACCACGTAAAATATGCCTTTAACGTATGCACGAAAACCTCACATTACAGATTTAATGTATGTACCAAATGTCACTTTATCTTTCTAATGTATATATTCACACCTTTAGTTATGATTTTAATGTATGTATCACGCCTCACACAATACATTTTTTAATATTCAGCATGTACCACACCTCACAGAAAGCTTTCCATGTATGTGCAACATCTTGCACAATATGGATGTAATGTGTGAACGTTTCACCAGATGGTTTTAATGTTTGTATCAGGAGAATTGGACTCGACCATCTGCGAGAGAGACGGTTAATTTCGCAAGAGGCGGAGCAGCTGACAGCGCCAAGGGAGTGTCTGCACTGAAGAAAAATTAAGTAAAAAGCTTTTTTTTCCCAAGTCTTACTGAAAATGGGGGGTCGGAGGACCTCAAACTAAACCACAATCTGGACACTATACCTTTAACGTATATACCACACCTCAAAACATGGTTTGGATTTAATGTTGATGGATAACCTGGTCATGCATGATTTTAATGCATATATTACATCTCATTGTATGGATTTAATGTAAACACCACAGCTCACCATATATTGATTTACAATAGTTTATATTATGGTCAACCCTCAGTTACTGAATTTTTCCACATATGACTGTGGCTGTTTTTGCACTTTTACTATGCGTTTGTTTTGCTTGTTATTTCTTACTTCTTGTTAAGTGCATCCTTACATACATTGAAAAAAATAATAAAAAGAAGAAACCCTATACATGTATACATATATAACACACCGCATAATATGAATAACTGGGAAAAACATAAAAACAAAAAAAAATTCCATTTTGTTTTAATAATTTGTACACAAAGAAGGAGCAAACCACGAATAACATTTTTAAAAGGAACGACATTTATTTAAAAAAATAAATCTTACTTTTACAAATTTGTATTCAGGTAAAAAGTACCTCCAAATAGATTCCCTTAACAGCACTGAATGTGCAAATGTCTGATATGTTGTTTAAATTGTATATGTTTAGGATCTTAATAGCTTTTTGGAATTTGTAGGGCTATGTCGCAAAGAATAAAAACTAAAACTGGATTGCTAGGAATATAAATTTAATATATATAAATCATCAAAGCAAAACTTTTGCACAAAATATATATTGATAAAAGGCAGAACCCCGGGATGTTTACCTAGGGGCATTGTGACATGGTTTAAGTAACGATTTTATCACCAACTTCTGACAAAATCTCCAGTTATGTTTGATTTGTGAAGTTGTTCACACACGTACTAACAAGTGCCAAATTGTATTTTACTTATGCATTTTGCAATCCTTGTTTTTGCTGTTTTTCAGGGAAGTTGTGATATTATACACACCCCTATTAAAGAATTCAGACTTGCACATTGGATGGATTTATTTACTAGGCTCTTTTTTTGGTGGCAAAGTAGCTGCTCCCAAATGCAAATTACATCCCCTGATGTGGCATGCCAGTTCCTAAAGTTGATCAACTGAACTGTTTTACATAGCTCCCTGGTTTTACACTGCCTGTCAGGCTCCCTGTCCTTTGCCTTCTGCCATGGCCTCGGCTGCTGCGGTTCCCGCTGGCATTCCCTCTGATGCTGCACGCTTGCGTGTGGTGTGTATAAATATGTGCCCGAAGGAGAATTCGATCATGGCGCACAATGATGATGTCCAGAGTAAAAGCAGGGAAGTCAAATACCTTCCACGTGTTGTAGTCAGGGCCGCCATCAGGGGGTGACAACCATAACGGTTGTCACGGGCCCGGCGGCCCTGGGTAGTGGCGGAACTGCCGCCGGTGCAGTTGCACCGGGGCCCGCACGCTGATGGGGCCTATTGGGTGTCCCACGCACTTAGGGCCACCCAATGGGCCCTGTATCATCAGGGGCCCGGTCAGCGCTGCGACTGTGCGACCGGGCCCCTTTGAAAAAAATCGCAGCCGCAAAGTACTGCTGGGAGGAAGTGGCTGTCACTTCCTCCCAGCTCCCTCCCCTTCGCGCCGCACGGGAGGGAAGAAAGCCACGCCACTGGAGCCATGCCGACTCCCATTAGCCACAGCCTTCCACCTGCAAAAAAAAGGTAAGAAAAATTAACTGTATTTGTGCATGTCGTTATGTCTGTATGTCTGTTAGTATGTCTGTGTGTATGTCAGTATGTCTGTATGTATGACAGTATGTCTGTATGTCTGTTAGTATGTCTGTGTGTATGTCAGTATGTCTGCTAGTATGTCTGTATGCAGGGCCACCATCAGGGGGTGACAACCATGACGGTTGTCATAGGCTCGGAGGTCCTGGGGGGCCCAGACTGCTTTGGCAGTCCAGGACCACACAATTACTCTCTGCACATATATATAGCATTGATTGCTATATATATGTGCAGTGCAGGTGCAGCCGCGGGCCCCAGGCTCCCTGTACCAGGCTCCCTGTACTTGCAGAAGGGGCCCAGTGGACTGCAAGTGTACTTACAAGCTCTTCCCTGTCTATAACTCTCGCGGGACCCGCAGCCGTCAGAGCGTTGCCATGGGTTACGCACGCCGTATTTCACTCTGCATTCATTACACTATCACGCACACTGCATTCACTACACTAACACACACACTGCATTCATTACACTAACACACACACTTCATTCACTACACTAACACACACTCTGCAGACACTACACTAACACACACACTGCAATCATTACACTAACACACACTCTGCATTCATTATACTAACAGACACTCTGCATTCATTACACTAACACACACTGTGCATTCACTACACACTAACACACTGTGCATTCACTACAGTAACACACACACTGCATTCACTACACTAACACACACTCTGCATTCATTACACTAACACACACACTGCATTCAT